CCCCTTTTCGTCCTGTCAACCTCGCCCAGCCTTGTCCCGCCTCTCTCGGCGAATCCCGCTCGACTATTGGCCAAGGCAGCCACCTGTCATCTACCCGCCGCAAATTCCGATTGGTCGGTGTGTGCGCTGGAATGCCAGTCATATGCAAATTTCACCCGACTTTACGAACTGCTTATATTCTCAGCACAAAAACAAAACTTATCTAAAATACGCAATCCGAATGAATAAAAAAAAAGCATCAAGTGACTCTTCTGCACAGATATGAAAACACTGATTAGCTTTCAAGAAATGACTCAAAAATGTGTATTTTTGTGTTTCTTTCAGTAACCCCCCCCCCCGACTCATGTCATTGGTGCAGGATTCGTAGTAAACCTTGACTGATGAGTGAAAGCACGAATCAAAAGCAGATACTCAGATGTAGACCAACCAATGGCTTAACAGAAGTTAGACACGGTCCCCCACCCCTTACAAATGCTCGGCTAAAGATTTAATACCTACAAAGACTATCCGAACCAGGGAGGCGCAATTGAGCTATCTATAGTTGACTTGCCACGCTGCTTTCGGTCTTTCTAGGCAACCTGCAGAGGATATAGATGTTGTTGAGGGCTCTGAGGTCAAGATGACTATGCACATCCACATCCATTAAACCCATCTGGGTACAGAGGCATTCAGTCTCCTATTAGTGTGTTTTTGCAGTTGTTTCATGCAAACCCAAGTGCTGACTATTATAAATCAACAATATTCACATGTGAGAGGGATTATAAATCCGTTTTCTGGCACTGCAGCACTCTTGTTTACAGCTAAAAGTAGGGAGGAAAGTGATGTAATTTTCCACCACAAAAGCCCTTTCAAAGCATCAAACATGTTCTGCTCCTTCTAGCATTCAAATGTGCCTCATTCAGACATGAGTATAAGTGATGCAAAAATGCACAGGGAAAGGAGAGAGAGTCCGAAAATGAGGAGAAAAGAGAACTGAAAACAGGGGAGGAGGGATGGTTAGAAAGAGAGGGAAAATGGGTGGAACAGATTAGGAGTGGAGAGGACCGGAGGGTAAAAATAGACTTAGTC